CCCCCCCCCGCCACAACTACACAGGTCCTTACTCGGGACAAGTCCAAGCCTCGTGCCTAGAAATAACGACAGCAAAATGAGTTAGCCTGTGAGGTGCCAAGCTCCTGCACTCAGAGCCCCAAACAAACAGCAGAAGAATCAGCAAGGCAATTTTCTCCCTGGGCTACCACGATGAAGAAAAACCACTTGTTGGATAAAATGAGAGATAATCAGGGTTCGGAGAAGGAGAAACATTTATATGCACTCTCATGAGCATGGAAACATAAGGACGTATGTTGGAGAAAAGGAGGAAACCTACATTTTTAAATATAGGAATACAAAACAAAGTTTCAGAAGCTTCATGAAGACAGTTTTTGATTTACATCTCATGAGACTTGAAAGGTCAAAAGTGAATTCTCATGTCAAGTGCACCTTGGTTTGCGCACCAAGATCAGTCAGCTGAAGAAAACAGCCACTAAGACGGGAGAAGGAATTCAGTGGGTCATGTAAGATACTCTTGGTGGGAAAAGCTCACACTTCCTGGGCGGAGCTGAAGGAACTGAGGCTGAAGGTGAAGGAGGGTGGTGAATAATGGAGTGCCGGTGTGGAAATCAGAGTTAGTAAGAGAACTACCATGACCCACAACCTTCCGTCCTTCTAGCATCTTCCAGTAGTCCTGGCACATAGATAACTGACAGGGTCCTGAATGAAGAGGAAACGTGACTGAAGACAACATGAACATTAGAAAGCGGTACAAAACCTGACTGTATATACGGCGGGAATCTTTGAGAAGATCATGAAACACGTATATGATGGGAAAGCGAAACATGGGTGTCGACTCTAAAAACCAAAACTATCTCCTACCTTAATTCCATTTTTCCATGAATCTTTTGAAGTCTAGTCTTAGAGGTAAATGGGAAAAACCGAATCCAGGCGATATGGACCAGACCACACGCGCACGTTTGAGTGGAAAGGCAGCATGAGCTTTGCAAGAGTGCGTCTGGAGCCAGAGACTAAAACTTGGGCTCCAACTTTATTGAAAGAACTTAGAGAGGGTGCTCGATTTCTCGGTCACTTAAGAAATCGCATCCTTAAAATGGGAACAATAACGGTTGTTTCAGAGATCTGTGGTAAGAATGAAATGCACGTGCTTACATCTGCACTGTCAGGCAGTGTTTGTGAAAATGTACTTGGTCGTCTTGTAACACAACGTGGGTGGAAAGGAGCCATCGTTATGCGTGACAGCATTTCCTTATCTACATGCGTAACTCCTAGCAGTTGCATGCTTCGTCTCGCAGTCTGATGACAAAGTTACCTTGCATGTTGTTTTTCTATTCACACTTAATGAATTTGTCCTGAACAGAAAACAAAGTGCAGGAGAGAGCAATGTGCTGCCTCCCTATACATGTGTACGGGATCTCATGTATGCACACGTGCACACACACGTATGTCATCTGTGTGTGTGCAAATACACATGCCTGGGCATACATAAGTAGTAGCAAGCCAGGTCATATGACCATTCTCTCCTAGATGTTGAGAATTAAAAACTACTTACTTTGCCATAAAACATGGTAAGTGAACTTGATTTAAATGAAGGAAATGAGTATAACTATTACTATTACAAACCCCACAACAGTGTTCACTTAGTTGTCAAATAGACTTTGTTTAGAGTCCAGATCGACAAATCAGGGTCTTTGATAAGGAAAACAAAACAAAACAAAAGAGTAGCTAAAATCAAAGTAAACACCACTATCAGATAAAGTTAAGCGCACCAAAGAACATAATTCACTAGATAAATAAAACAGCAAATTTAGGATATTTTAAGCATTGGAATACACAATTTAAAAATATTTAATAATCTGGCTTATTACTATTGTGGCATGTTAAAAACAATGCTTTGGCTTAGCTTCTCTGTCTTTAAAAATAAGAAAAAAACCCCACATAACCCAACCCCCCGTGTTTTCACATGGAAACAATCTGTTTCACTACATCTTTTTAGAAGGTTTGCTTAAACTTCAACTATCTGTGAATGTCCCTTCTTGGCATGCAAGTCTCCCGTGGCTCCGGTTCATCAGTAGTGTCAGTCAGAGCCTTCCCTGGGTGCTCGGAGGCCTGAGTGGAGCGGCTTACCTTGAGAGACTCCGTCTGTGAGCCCAGGCCCTTGGTGCAAAGCTCCATCACCGAGTAGGAGCAGAACGTGTCCCGGACTTTGTACTGACTCACAGCAAGAAGCCACAAGGCAGGGTTGGTCTCCAGCTCTGAGGGCGGAATCAGAATGGATTGGTGCCCGGAGTACACGCTGTGGAGACAGAGAGGCCATCAGGGTGGTGCCCAGAGGGATGGAGACGGCGGGGAAACATCTCCTTCTGAGAAACAGGAAGACTGAACGAGCCGGTCTTGTCGCTTGCGAGATGGAGATAGTGAAACGAACTTGACAAATGAAACGGTGTTTATGGGAACATTCTGAACAGCACGTGAGTACTACAGGAATTATGAAACGCTGTTCTTGCCCTTCCGGGCACTTACTTCAAATGTCTTAAGAGCTGTGTGACTGCTAGGCTTCTCTCGAAGCTGTGACATTAACAGCCTGGCTTCCCCTTCACAGCATAAAACGCAGGTAGCAAGCACCTGGCACTTCGGCAGGAGCTGGCAAGCCACAGATGCTGCCTGTTTTTGTAAATGAAGTTTGATGGGGACAGGGCCATGGCTTGCTGGCGTCAACATTGCCTGTGGCAGCTCTGTGCAAAATGGTTGAGACAGGAACCTGAGTCTGCCACACTCACTGAACGGCCATGTGTCAAGAAGGATGCCTATCCCCAGTTTAGAAAACGGACTTCCAACATGAAAGAAAGTCATGACACACACAAAGTCAGTTTCTCAGGTTTTTTTTTTTTTTTTTTTTCTTTAGAGGTTTTTGCTATAGGGTGCGTCCACTCACCAGACAGACAGAGACATAGAGACAGAAAGAGAGAAATCACCCCCCCCCCAGAGGGGATGGTCACGCCTCAATCCCTTCTCTGGGGATCTTGGGCACGCACACACATGTGCCCAGCGTGAGTTTTAAGCCACCGGGTCCAGGACGCGAACCGCAGTCGACTATGTGGGAGTCCAGCGACATAGCCATTATGCCAACTGCTGAGTCCCTTCTCAGTATTTTTAATTTTTACTTTAAAATGAACCAAATAAAGGCCAGTCCCATAAGTCAGCAGGTAAGCCCTAGCAAAGGAAGCTAGGTCCCACATGGCCAACCACGGTTTGAATCCTGGCACTGGTGGTTTGAAAAACATGCTGAGTACAACTGGGTGTGTGCCTAAAATCCTGCTGGGATGGAGAAACAGGGCCCAAGGATTGCTGTGGGACCACACCCCTCTGAGGGATGCTTGCTCTCTCTCAGGTGAGCATCTGCACCTTCCCACCATTAAAAAAAAAATTGGGAACCAGCAGTTAGTGTAATGGCTATGTTGCTGGACTCCCACATAGTCGACTGTGGTTCGCGTCCTGGACCCGGTGGCTTAAAACTCACGCCGGGCGCGTGTGCGTGCGTGCCCAAGATCCCGAGAGGAGAATGGAGGAGAAGGGATTGCGGCATGACCATCCCCTCTGGGGGGGTGATTTCTCGCTTTCTGTCTCTCTGTCTCTCTGTCTGGCGAGCACATGCGCCCTATAGCGAAAACCTCTCCAAAAAAAAAAAATTGATCTGCACAAATCACCAAATAGGAGAATGAAGGAAACTATAATTTTACTTTTCTACTAGAGAGCACATGTAGAGAAATGAGGTAAAATAATAGATTTCATATTTTAATCAATTGATGGCAGTAAGTGTGAGTTTAACATAACAAACACATTTGCCAAAACTACATTTTTAATTATTTTTTTTTTGGAGAGGTTTTTGCTATAGGGCACGTGCGCTCACCAGACAGAGACAGAGAGACAGAAAGTGACAAATCACCCCCCAGGGGGGATGGCCATGCCACAATCCCTTCTCCTCCATTCTCCTCTGGGGATCTTGGGCATGCATGCACACGCACCCAGCGTGAGTTTAAGCTGCCTGGTCTGGGACTCGAACCATGGTCAACTACATGGGAGTCCAGCGACATAGCCATTACACTAATTGCTGGTCCCCATTTTTAATGATTTTAATCTTTTTGTTTACTTTCTGAAATTAACATTAATAGGTGTCACACATTACTAAACCATGTGTGTTAAATCACCTCATGTAAGGATAGTAAGCTATTTTGCAAAAATCTACTTCAAAGAGGACCCTCATGTTGGAAAACTATTGTTCAGGGAATGTGACAAAGGCCATTTTGGGGCAAGTTTCATCTTTTCATCTATTCCAAAGTTTCCTTCATTTCTGTCAAAAGGAAATACAGCAGCCATTGACCTCTTCTTTTCAAAAGGCTTAGTCATGGAGAACTGGGAGATGGCGCACCTGAGGAGGAAATGCCAGTCCTCAAACTGTTACTCTGCTATAAATGAGATATTTTTTGTCTTAATGTCGAAAATTTTGCTGTGGTAAAGCATAATAAAGTTGATCAACTTAACCACTTCTAAGTGCAAACTCGGGTGGTATTAACAACATTCACGTCGATCCTCACTATATTTCCAAAATGATTTTACAGCCCAACCTGAAACTCCGTACCCATATTAAGCAGTAACTCCCCATTCCTCCCTACCCACAGCGCCTCAGGACTGCTAAGCTATGCTCCGTCTCTATGAATTTGCCTATTTGCATATACTTTATGTAAATGGAATTAGGCAGATAGGTCAAACACTGCATGATTAATTTCATTTGCGACGTTTTTTGAGGTGTATTCACACAGTAGCACGTGTCAGATTGTCCTACGATTTTCAGCCGTAGGGTATTTAAGTGTATGTGTATATCACATTTAATTATCCATCCCTCCACTGATGGGGGCTGTACTGGTTTCCACCTAGTGCTACTGTGAATAATACTGTAAGGAATATCCGTGTGCCAGGGTTTGAGTTCCTGTTTTCAACTGTTTTGAGCTATGGAGAATGGCTAGATGACATGGCAACTGTGTTCAACTTTGAGAGGAGTCAATGAACTATCTTTGGCAGTGATGGCTCATTTTACATCGCTACTCAGCAGTGTCCAAGAACTCCAGGTCCTCCACACCTTCGCCAACCCTTGCTGTGCACCAGTGTTTGTATTATATTGGGGTTGCTGGAAAAGTCATGACGTACTTTTCTACATTTTTCTATACAAAAAAGCATCATGACCTTTTCAATGACTCAATAGCTTCGGTATTGGGTGTGAAGTGGTATCTCAATTGGGCTTTTGATTTGCATCTCCCATGGAAATAGGCAAGCTTTTTGTTTCATTTTTTTAAGTAAAGAATATGGTATTTATTCAGATGATTCAGAGACAGAACATTTGAAGTGTTTTTAAATTGCTTATTTGGTTTTGAGCCATATTCACTTCTTGACCAAGATATTGATAAGTGATGAAAGTTAGAAAGCTTATATTTCACTGATCTCTGTCACAGCCAATGAAAGTATTAATTTTAAAGAATTAAAATGTAGGAATAGGCTATATAAATTTTTTCTTTAATTTATTAATTTTAATTTTTATACACTTAACCACTATAGGTCATTTAGATTGTAAAGAGACTTTACTCAGCATGATATACACCTCAGTTCAGTCCAGTTGAGATTATACATATCCTCATCAACAAATAATAAACCATATTTGTGTCCTACAATGTCTTACTTCTCTATTTTTTCCCCTATTTTCCAAATTTCTTTTCCTAGCTCTTCCCCTCCCATATTCTTTCCACTTTGGCTCTAGTGTCTATAACAATTTTTAATGATTGTATATCCTCCAGACTTTCAGTCTCTGCCATAGAGTGCAAACAACTGGTATATGTAAAGTGGAGGCATGCAATGTCTCTTTTTCAGAGCCTGACTTGCTTTACTCAGCAACTAATCTTCCATATTTGTCCACCTTCTATCAAATTCCAGGGCCTTGTTTTTTTTTGTTTTTTTTTTTTTTTTTTTTTTTTTTTTTTTTTTTTTGTTTGATTAATTTTTCTGTTTTTTTTTTATGGCTGAATAGTATTCCATGGAGTATATGTGGCACACTTTTTCAGTCCATTCATCCGTTTGTGGACATTTGGGTTGATTCCATGTCTCAGCAATCATGAATAAGGCTGCAATATATTTGTGCAAGCACTTTTCCAACTGAGTGTTCTCCTAGACAAACTATTTTTATTGTCAGTGTATCAAAATCAGTAAGATCCCTTCCAATGATTATTGGGTCATGGGAAAAGTCATGACATATTTTTTCTATGCAAAAATGTGTCATGACTTTTCCCACAACCCAATATAACACTGAAAATATTGTCAATTTTTCACTAAAATTTGTCCTTGGAAAATTAATTTAGGCCATTAAAGACCACTTTACATTAAGGTTATTCAATAGAGATCAAATGAAAGTATCACAAATACATCTGTCGTATTAGGAAACTTATACCTTATTCAAACAATTACTTATTACAATGTACATTCTATCAAAATTTCTGAAAATTTACTAGTCCTCACAATTTGTGAAAAACACATTTGGATCCAGAGCCAGAGTTCTTTCAAAATCAGAGTATCTGGTTTAAAAAGACAGCACAAGAGCCAGCAGGTAGCATGGAGGTTAGGGTGGCTGGGTCTCACATGACCGATTGAGTGGTCTGAGTCCCAGACTTGGTGACATGAAAATCACGCTGGGGCACGTATGAGTTTGTGCCCAAAATCCTGGGAGGAAAATGAAGGAGAAGGGACTGCAGGGTGGCTATATTCCCCAGGGAGTGATTTCTCTCCTCCCCTTACCCTCTCTGTGAGCACACATGCCCTGTAGCAAAACTAAAGAAAAAAAAAAAGACAGCACAAGATGAACTTTTGACAAGTCTTATTCTTACTTTTGAGGTACATCATATCATTCTTAAAATAACATTCCAAAATAATCTTTCAGACTTGAGGTCTGAAAGCAAACCTAATATCTCCTTAGCTCCAGCCATATACCTAAATGGCCAACCTGTGCCTCCCTGGCTCACACACACAGAGGTCCCAGCACCATATCCGGAGACCTCCAGTCTTATTTCCAGGACTGGTCAGAGCTAAGACAGAAAGAACAGCACTCTCCCATTTCTTGCCAAAACCCTTGTGTCATGCATCTCTTTCTAGAGATGGGCCCCCTCTCTCATGGTGGCAACCAGTAGAAGGACATTCCTTACTTACTAGCTAATGTGGCTGATTCTAATTAGAAGCCTCTGGGCAGCACTGAGCAGG